TCGGTATAATTTTCTGAAAGACTTGTGAATGGTATGAATTTTAGTTTGGATTTGGAAAATAAAAGAAAAGAAAATAATTATTATTAGCAATTTAGTGTTGAAGCACTTAAAAAAAAGTTCCATTTTTTGAATACTTTATCTTCAATGTGTTACCCATAGTCTCGCATTTTTTACTTCATTTAAAAAAATTGTTTAATCATCTGATGTGCGAAATTTGTTGACTCGACTAAAAAATTATTTAAAAACAATTATTTAATCCATTGTTTGGATGGTTGTTATGTATCGTTTTATAATGTATCGTATAATATTGTATTGTATTGTATCGTTTTGATGCATGCGATGTTTGGATAGATTGTATTGTTTGTCCTCGTTACATGATGTCATGCACCAACAATATGAAAAAGAAACTTGTAATATTATTTTTAAAAATAAGGTACGAGGTAGAATTATCATAATAAAAAGGTAGGGTAAAGGATAAAATAAAATTATTTAATAATAATGACGGACAAGATAAGAAAAAAATAAAGTAACGATGTGACTACACCAAATCGATTATTCTATAAAGTGACACTTTTCATCGTTATGTATCGATGAATTTAACAATACGTTACAATAAACTTTAAATAACAACCAAAATAATAATTGTATTTAAAGTAACAATACGATACAATACAGCATGTTAGAGACACTCAAACAAGCTTTTGAAGAAAAAAAATAATTAAGGGCGTAATGTAAAATTTTAGAAGTCAATATAGAGTAGAGGTAGTAAAAAAGATAAACAAAATAAAATAAAGCGTGAATGTTTTCCCTTTTCTCTCTGCTCCCTTAGCCTTAAATCTCACTGTTTTACTAATTTGATTGTAAGTGTGGCAGCAGGGTTTAAGCCGCGACTAATAAGGGATAATGGAAACACGCTGCAACTTTTGGCTTCCGAAGAAGAAGAGATTTTGCGCAAACACCCTTCTCAAAGATTCAGAGTGAGTCCCTCCCTTTAGTTAATAACACTTCCCCTCCCCTTTCTAACACCCTCAAGTTCTTACTTCCATTTTTTCGATTTAAAAAACAAAAAGCTTTCTTTTGATTTTAATGCTTCAGGTTCTGCGGAAACCACACCCAAAGATCTAATGGACAATGGATTCCTTGCCCTATCCACCCTTCTCAGTATATACAATACAACCTCATGCTCACTTTGTTTTTACCATTCATCTTTTTGCTTTATTTATTTATTTGTTGTATTTGCCATTTTATAAATAGCTCTGTGCTGGAAGAGAATCTCCAAAGTCACCTTAAGCGATGCCCATTTTACAAACAAGCTCAATCTTTACTACTTCAGCCTTATTACCAAGAAGGGATCAATGCTGGCAAAGAACAACAAGGGGACCAGAACTTTAGTTCAGAGATGAAGAGAAATGCTGTTCATTCAATGACCCCTTTTCAATTCTCCCAATTGATTAATAAAATCAAGTCTGTTCATGCTTCTCTATGTAATGACATCCGTGATTCTTTCAAGATTCCACAAGCTTGTGACATTTGGACTAATCGACAAGTGGACCGGTGTTCTTTACTATCATAGTACTCTTTTGTATGTGTTGTGTGCATTTTATATTCCCTTTAATCCAATGTTATCTTATTTTTCCAACCCCATTTTTTTCAGGACTTTACCTTTTCAAGAGAAACATGTAATGCAGCAAGCCTCAATTCTTGGGAATCTAGAAGAATTTGGGGTTCTTAAAGTTAAGTCAGAAACATCAGTGGAGGAGGAGGATGATGTTCCTGCAGTTGTTGAATTTGGAGCAGGGAGAGGATACTTGACGCAAGTTTTGGCCGACTGTTATGGAATTAAGAAGATTTTGTTGGTTGAACGCAAATCATACAAGCTCAAGGTCGGGCGACAAGCATAAAAATCATGCCTTTATTTTTTGTTGTGTCATTAGAATGTTATATCTATCAGACACCTGGGTGTTTATGATTCATGAATTATGTATAGGCTGATCGGAGTCTGCGACAGAAAGAGAGTGTTACACTAGAGCGGTTGAGAATTGACAGTAAGGGCCTTATTAACCCTTTACTTTATCTGATAAAAAAAATTAACCCTTTCTTCGTTATGAGCTTTTTTTTTTTTGCTCCGGATTCTCTATTTTGATGTTATGTTAGTTTTCTTCTGATTCGCTGGTCATGCTATATGATTAGATGTCAAGTTGCCGTGAGTTTTTTTTTCCTTTCCACTTTTGCAATGATTGCACTATCATTAGCTCTTAGATTTGGTATATTATTATTACTAGGTATTAGACTAGAAAAGAGTGTTGTTATGCTGCAATATGTTTATTTACCTTATCAAAAAAAAAAGTTATGCTGCATTATGCTGGATGATTCACAGAGAAATACATATGATTGTGGGCGTTCTTTGGTATACAAGATGATGTAATGTGTATGATTTGCTAGCAACACTGAGGTGTTCTTAGGCTTGAACAAAGAGTCCAGCTGTCATCAAGTTGTGATGTGTATGTAGTATCATTGGTTCACTAAATTGTAGCTTATATTTGCAGTATTTATGCCATTTTTGCTTCAAGTTGTTGGTGCATTTAATCCTCCGCAAGGATTTCGGTTCTTGTGTTTAGAGTTGGGGTGGTTTCGTAGGATACATATATGACATGCAGAGAATTATTTCTCTTCNCTTCACTAGGTCATTCCCATATGTCTATGCAATGGAATATGTAGTGATAGATTTCAGAACCCCACATGAAAGCCATGGATCTGACAAGAAAGTAAAATAGCTATCAGCATACAAGGATGAAAAAGACTTAAATTAATCATGTCGCCCTGACTCACTGGATGATCATCTTCCTCTATTACTTTGAATTAACGGGTTTTAACTTTTTGCAGTTGAGGACCTGAAATTGGATGATGTTGAGAGTTTACAAGGAGTTCCTTATCTGGCAATTGGTAAACATCTTTGTGGGCCTGCTACAGGTACTTCTTTTCTTTCTGCTATAAGAAAAAGAACATAGACCATGCCTTTACACAGTGCATTTGATTCTTCTTTTGGCCAGTTTTACTTTATGAACTAATACAATAAGCAATTTGATGCAGATATGACTTTAAGATGTTGCATCAGGGAACAATGTGATGATTCTCCTTCTGAATCGACTTGCCACATGATCGGCCTAGCTATAGCTACATGCTGTCATCATCTTTGTCAGTGGAAGCATTACATAAGTAATCTGCCTTCTGCCGGCTCTCGTCTCATGATATTTTCTGTTGCACATATCAGTTTTGACTCCGTTCTAGTTTCTCCTAGAAAATGTTCTTTCATTAGCATAACTTTGTGACTTACCGAAATTCATGAATGATACCTACCGCAGATAAGCAATATATGTTGAATTCGGGAATCAGCAAGGATGATTTCAATGCCATGACATGGTTTACCAGCTGGGCCGTCGATGCAGATCATGGTTCAGACCTTAGTGGCACTGATTGGTCTTTTGATCTACAGATCAGGTACGGTCGTTCTATTTGTATTATTCAGAGGTTTCTTCGCTTACCACATTTTCTCTTCTCTTGCTCCTAAAATGACTCTGTTATAAGTTATTTCCTCTACATGTGGTTCACAGGGAAAATGAGCATGTAGAATCTGATCTAAATACATATGAAGTCAGAGACATGGTGAAAGATATGAAGGCTGTGGATAGAGCCGTCGTAGGGTTGATGTGTAAGGATATTATAGATGTTGGGAGGTTTATGTGGCTCAAGGAACATGGACTTGAATGTGAGCTTGTCAAGTATGTTCAGTCAAATATCTCTCCAGAAAACCGTTTGTTGGTCGGTCGGCAGAAAAGCTGAGTGTTAACGTGCTGCTATACACTGCATTTGCATCCCTTAGATATTTAGCATTCTCAAACCTGTAGGTCTAATTCACAATTTGATAATGTATTCTGGATATCAACATTTTTCGAGTAGATTTTTGAGGTCGTATCCTTTGACATTTTGTTCCGGTTTTAGGCACCAAAAAAAAATAAAAAAAATAGAAGCGGCTGTAATTTCTTTGTTGTTGACCTTGAGGACCAAAGTACGCTTGGAGCCTCCAATGTACGCTTGAAATAATTGTTGAATTCTACTACCTCAATTTCCTTTGCCAGACTAAAAAAAATACTTAGGAAATATCATGCCTTAACAATATATCACCCAACATTTGGATGGACTCGCACTCTCCAACCTTCCTACACTGTCAGCATATCAATCTTCTTTTTTCATTCTTCTGCTGCTTTTGTCGCCTCACCAATGATATTGAAGAGCTCTCGATTTGGATTGTCCTAATACGTTGAATTAAACTTGGAAGAGGGAATTCGAGCTTGTGTTGGTGTCTTGGTGAAACAATTATAATGGCCATTGCGTCGAAGAAGACCAGACCATGTTCTACATTTCAGTGAGACCAACTTGTTCTGGCATTTACTCACAACGGCCTACTACTCCTGATCAGAAGGAACCATCTCACCTCAAAGCTTATTTTACAACCACAAGATGAAGACAGAAGGTGGAATATTTTCTGGGTTGATTTGCACGTCGATCATTTTTCCAGGAGGGACCCCAACATGGCATTCCATAGCCATGGTGAACGTGGACTTGGGACGTCTAGCCAGAGATAAGCTGAAGGGTCAATTGGATGGGCCATGGTAGATCAAATGAGAAATATGACACCACGATTTGGTTTCGTCCAACAGCATTTGCCTTAGATTATACAAACACGAGACTCGAAATGGTTGTGCTAAACACCTATTCAATTTGTACTGTTTTATTCAATATTGTTTTGACCAACCTCAACTAGATTGTGAAAAGCTGAGTTAGAAAAGAGAGGACCTGAAATTAGCACATGAATGGTATCCATTGTACATTAGTTTCAAGAGGCTCTCGCCAAGGGTCTACATTAGCAATTGCACTCTCAAAAGTTAGCACAGGGATTTTTATTTTTTTTGCTTTTCAATTCAATAGATTAGGATTTGGAGAACAAAATCAACAGATTAGGATGATTTATCTCCAACTACGACCACTGTTTCTCAACTATTCAAGGCAATAGCCTAACCCCTTTCAGTTGAGAGTATGGACATTCCAGTGCAAGAATTTACAGGAAGAAGAACCATGCATGCCAGACATGCAATACAGATACCATTTACATATTTTAGTTCACAATGTACACTTTCTAAGAGTGACAATATGCTCAACTATTTGCACGACCAAAGGTTTTCTCACTGCTGTAGCACATGTAGAGGAACCCATCTTTATCCTTGAAAGAATCATACACAGTCTCCATCAAGCTTGCTGCAGCAAAAGAAAATCCATACGATATCAGTGACGGGGCAAATAATCCTTGTCATGGTGTTATAACATGTAAAAAAAAATTGAGGCAAGGTGAACAAACTAGGAGTTACTTGTGTGAGGCAAGGTGTTATTCACAAACATGTAGAGAGCTTTCCCAGGAGCCAGATGGAGTCTGCCACTCAGAATGTGGATAAATTGGCCAACGGACATATCACGGGGTACCAGGTATCTGTGGTCAAGACCGAATAGAAGAATTAAAAAAGAAAAAAAATAGAGGATTATTACTAATTAGGACCTTATAGGACTATTATAAGAGGAACAGTAGAGGACTACATAGTGGTAGGGGAGTGTCTTGGTTTTNGTGGGGGGGAAGAAGTGGGTTTTCCATCTCTGTTCATTCAGCAAACTACAGGAAACTACATGTACAACCGTGAATTAAACTACAACCCCTCCAAGAAACTAAAAGCAAATTCCAAAACAGGGCCTACGGAGGAGAGTCAGTTATTGGGTTTTCGTTGCATTTACAAATAAATGTGAAGCCCTAAAATACTATTTAAGGCAGGGTATGGTAGAAGAATCATTTTTTGGCAGGTAGCCGGGATAGTACATTGTCCACTAAAGAGAAGATCCCAGATTTGTTCAGCTCTATGTTACACAAAGCTGTTCCAATAGCTCGACGTAGATGACAGAACGGATGAGAAGTAAGCTTCGGAAGGCACTGCTATGATTGGGAAATCGAAAGGATGACCCAGTTTTTGAAAGACCTGGAAGATGTGCAGACATTGTGAGAGGCTCCAGATTCTTTGATATCGACAGTTCCAAGAAAATGGTATATTTAATGTGAAGTCTTGCTATCAAACATATCTGTTGCAAGTGGCACTACCCCCACAATAGCCTATTAAATTTAGTTGGGAAACTAGAGCTCCTTATATAGTAAAGAAATTTTATTAATAGTACCGAAATGGTACACAACATGTACAAGAGATGGATTATCTCTATTCCCTGAAACTAGAGCTCCCTATAAGGTTGCATGCTTCAGTTAGGTTATAGTTAATGAAGCGTGTCTACTCAAGAAGACAAGAATATCAAAGAAGAGCTATGCAGATTTGCAGTAGATGCTGCATGTGTAAAAGGAGGTTGAAAACAGTAATTACTCTTTTTGAATTACTGGATTGCGATTCAACTGTTGAATTTTGTTTACATTTTTAGGGTGAAACTGGTAATATCACAGAAAGTCAAAACCCCTCTTTTGGTGCTGGAGAGGATCGTAAGATGAAAAAGGATCTATGGAAAATTTGGAGCGCCATTCCAACACAAATATGTTGGGTGGTATAAGGGAAAGGAATGAACGTGCTTCTATGGAAAAACTACTTTCTTTTTCTTTTTGATAAGGGTAAGAATTTTATTGATCCAGCACTAAGCATGTGCTGCACAGGAAAGAAAGAGACTGTAAGCATTCTTTTCACTTTTCCCTCCCTATGTAAAAGTTTTGTTTCCCTCTGCTGTCAGATTTTCAGTTCTAACTAGATATTCATAAGAAATTCTCTAAGCGCATCCAAAACTAGGAAGCTTAGAAAGAGATTCACATTTGCTGTTCAAGAGGAGATTCAGAAACATCACATTTATGAGTAGTATAAGAAAGCACATCACACTAGATTTTGGCAGGAAATATGACACCGAGATGATATTTGCTTACTTCTTCTTTTCCATCTCAGGGAGGTCAGTCTTTGAATATCTTTCAACCACCACCTGCAAAAATATAAAACAAATAAATTCATGACATGATGACAATATGCACTATTGGAGGGAGGGAGGGAGGGAGCCGAGGGTCTATCGGAAACAGCTTCTCTACCCTAGGGTAGGGGTAAGATCTGCGTACAAACTACCCTCCCCAGACCCCACTAGTGGGATTATACTGGGTTGTTGTTGTTGTTGTTGTTGTTGATGACAATATGCACTATGCATGAAGGAGCATTCAATAACCACCAGAGGGTAAAACATAATGGTTAATCCAATATATTTTTGTTGTTTGTATGTTTCTTTCTGAACAGCAATCATCCAAATACTGTATGTCGGTAGGGTAGGAAAAGTTATAGCAATTGTAAGCAACACTCACAAATAGTTAATTTTTGTGCAAAGGGTTCAAATCAAACTTTGGTGTGTGCATTATTCAACAGAAGCTGTAACAACAGGCAATTACCACTTAAACTCCTAATGGTTGATAAGATGGGACTTCAATCCTTATGATTCCGAAAGAAACACATGGGCTACATATGCAAAATTTTCAATTTTTTTGTTAAGTAAAACTTTTTAAAAAAAAAATCCAAAGGGGATATAACCTATGTACTAGTATACGAAGACCCAAAACCTAATGCTAAGCCCATAAATCACAGAGCACCAATCTTACATATAATTACAGATACGCATAACTGTATGTACTTCCATATAAGGTAATATTTCATTTTGCCATCAATATGTTAATCATCTTCCCCCTTTAATTCTCACTTAAGTCTACCTTTAACTTTCGATTAACTTGATCAAGTCCAACCTTTCTCTTCATCGTCATCATTTTCACTCTTAAATTTCTCGAAAAGCCTTAAATTGCTGAAGTATCAGCATCCAGTCTCTCTCTATTCTACCTTCATTCACGTCTACAATTTTATTTGGCAATAGATCTCCTTCACCTTTGAGCTTTGAACCTGAGGTGATTATCACATCTCAATATTTGTCCGATTTTGTGAAAGAGAAAGAAGAAGCAAGTACCACATTATCAAGCTTCAGGGTTGTCCTCAAAATTCAAGTAGACATCATCTCTTATTGGTTGGAATAAAATTAGTCAGAATTTGCTTTGGAAGAACCATGAAACTTATAAACCAAATCAGTCTAGTGATGACGGATCCAAGAACAAAAGCTCCTGACAAGTGCCAACCACTAATGAAAGATGTTCCAAAGTTTTTTTTTTTT